TGACACGTAACTCTAAAAAAAATTAGACAGCATTAGTGCACTAGCCAACCATTTTAGATAAATTCATAATCAAGTAGAAAGAAGAAATTTTAGTTTTTTTGCAGTAATTAAAGGTACAAAGTCTGGTATATATAATTATTGGCCAGAAGTACTACAACAAGTAGAAAGATTTTCAACCCTCTTTTCAAAGGATTTTATATGCTTGAAGAAGCTTTAAATTTTTGTAGAGAAATGATAGATTTAATTTTCATATATTTGAAAGAGTTAGACAGATTATGCAAACCCCCTCTCAAGCTTCATCGTCATCTTCTTCAATACAACTTTGTGATAGTTGTGAAACCATGACTGAAGTTGTTAGAAATTTAAATCTTAGAAAGCATTCTTTAGAAGAAAGCATTCTTTAGTAGAATTTATTCTGATAAAATAGAAAGACTTATTGAACTAACAGATTCTACAATTGTAAGACAATAAAAAACTTTATATGAATTAGACAGAAAATTGATGATTGCGCCAGTTTTGTTCGAAGTTCTATAAAGAATTTCGTTGTACAAGAAATTATAGATTTTGCTCAAATTTTAAGTTACTATCATAATAAAAACAGATGCTTCCTTAGTCATAGTCCCAACTACGATTCAGCCCAAAATTCAGCCTTTCTTAGATACAATTATCCAACAATTTCCTTTGATTATATAATCTTTGAAGAAGAAGATCTTTTTTACCCAACTTTACAATTTGGTATGATAGATATTATATACATATTAAACAGATCTTTTCGATTTTTTTACCAAAACTTGAACAGATTTTTGATCAGTTAAAAGACCATCCTTTAATGATTTAGTTTATTTCCATGCCCCCTCGTGTAAATAACGACATTGTAATTCCAACTAATAATCGTATTTTAATTTATAAAGGAACCAAAAGATTTAGACCCTCTTCGAGAACCAATATTAAAATAAAAATTAGACAAATTGATTATGAAAGAAGAATATTAGAAACTGTAGCCATGACGGAAGTTCAAAACAATGATTTCAGATTAGTAGCACAATGGAACAACAAAGTTATTTTTTGCCAAGAGCACCTTGCCATGAGAATTAAAGCAGGAAAAATTCAAGTATCAAATGTTGAACAAAAGGATCTATATCTTATGGCGTTTCAAGAGACTAATGGAGAATTTACAAAAACCTAATCAGATATAGAAGATGAAGCATAAATATCTGATAGCAACGATAATGAGATGGATCCAGAACTAGAAGAAGTCATAGCAAAAATGATGGATAGATAAAATTAATAATTGAAAAAGACGAGATAGAAAGAGAGAAAAATAATTATCAAGACAAGTAAGTCAAAAAGAAGAGACGTAAAGTTAAATCTTTTTGAACAAATTTCAAACATCTGTAAAGTTGATTATCATATTTCAAGCAAAGTCAAGCGTGAAAACAAAGTTGTTAGAAGTATCTTTTCAAATAATTCATTCTTTAATTACCCACATGGAGAATTGTACATTATTTAATTTTTCTTTAATTTTAGGTCGCACACCTATAAAGTTTGCACAGTATTCTTCAATTATTGATAGCACACTTACAACACCGAAAAAAGCACAAAGCGCACTTTACACTTGTTCTCAAAAATCTCTCCACTATCTTTGTAAATTCAAAAACATTTTTGTAAATTCAAAGACTTCAAAATTAAGATAAGTTATTTTCATATCTTCTCTTGTTTATAATTTTCATTTACTTTAGTTATTTTTCGGGTAAGGCCTAAAAGTGGAAATACCAAGTAAGAAATTAATTTATTCACAAATAATATTTTATTTCTGTTTCAAAAATATAATTTTAACGCTCTTAACCTCTTTATTCTGGATTCCATGACCAAAAAATAAAGTAATCCTCTAAATTAAGTTTGCCAATTTGTGGCCTAATAGTGGGAGTTTGTTAAAATCTTTTTAAACATGATGAAAATCTTTTTGGCTATAGTCTTAAGCTTTCTTTAAAAGGTTAAGAAAAAAGCTAAAAGAGGGTTTAAAATAAAATGGTTTGAAGAAATTAATTTGTTGAACAGTAAGGTACTCAAAGGCCATTACAAATATATCGTTTTAAAGATTAATATTTTATACTTTTAGAATACGCTGCCTTACTTACTTGTTCATTAGAAAGTTTTAACGAATATATTAATACTTACTTAGAAAATAGAGAAATAGAAAGATTAGTCGTTGTAGGAAGTTATATTTTATCCGCTCTAGATAAAAATATAGGTGACTCCTCTTTACGGATCAAGAAGCAAATCACTGAATTCTCTATCTCTTAGTGTTGAAGTTTCTCGATAAAAATCCTAAAGATTGTAAAGAAAGATAACAACAGGCAAAGATTATAAGAGAAAATAATAAAAGAAATTCTAGTAGAACTAGTTAGACATTTCTAGCAATTGAATTTTAGTAGCAAAGATAATATAAATTGGTGAAAATTTTTTTTAAACTTTTCAAACGTATTAATTTTTTTTTTTTTAAAAAACCTTGTCTTCGAAAATTAATTGCTAGTAGACTTTCTTGAAATTGGTAACGTGTATAAATTTTAGAAAGAATTTTTTTTTTCTTTTTTTTTTTTTTTTTTTTTGGAAATTGNNTTTTTTTTTTTTTTTTTTTTTTTTTTTTAGGAAATTGGTATTGATAGGAAGAAAAAGTGTGCTAAATATTTATTGCTATGAAACATTTGGTATTCAAAACGTGTATAAATTACAAAGATCTTTTGCTACAAGATTTTGAATTAATTACCACCCGTAGTAATTGCCACCCAAATATTTTATTAGTTTCTAGTTGCTCTAATTGGTATTTACGTAGAAAATTTTTTACTTGTCATTTTCAAAGTCTTGCTACCCGAATTGGTATCAAAGTCTAAAACAGTCAAAAATTATATAGTTTACGAAAAAAATTGAGTATTTAAATTTAGTGATTTTAGGAAACTATATATATATATAAAAGACAATTTAGAAGCGGCTTCTCTAATCTGTAATTTTGATAATAAGTTTAGATATACTTTACATAATGAAGATAAACAGTTAAATAGTATTATAGATTTACTTATAAATTTAGGAGAAAATTTTGAAGGAAATCAAGATCGAAGTCACACATTCAAGAGTTAACAACCACACATCGAATCAAGATCAAAGATTAGATTTCTTATATTAAATATAAAGGTACGAATACTTTAATTCACGTACTCAAGAATATATAAATGTAATGAAAAAATAAAAACACTATTTATTTATTACAAATTATTATTTTATTATAACAAAAATATATTATATGGGCACATAATCCAACACGCATCTCAAGAATGGTCATCACCTCGAGCTCGAGATCGTTATGGTTCGAGTGAGCTAAATTTTATTGGGTTAATAATTCAAATGGTCACTAAACTTTGTAAAAAAAATTTATTGGGTCACTGAACTTTAAAAATTACCTAAATCATTACCGAACATTGTAAAAGATTTATACCGAGTCACTAAACTTTAAAAATCACTCTATTCATCATTGAACTTTTCAAAAAATTTCCACCGGTTAGTTTTTGCAAAGTTCAATGACGAATGAGATAATTTATGAAGTTCGATGACCCCTTGGAAATCTTTTGTAAAGTTCGGTAATCCCATAAAATCTTTTTGCAAAGTTTAGTAACGATTTTGGTAATTTTTAAAGTTCAGTGACCCCATAATTTTTTTTTGTAAAGTTCAGTGACTATTTGAGATATTAACTCAAATTTTATCATCATATATGATGGCCAACAAAGCAACTCACATCAATTTAGAGATGATGGGATAGTAGAGAACTCACATCAATTTGGAAAATATTAGGGATGACGGAATAGTAGAGAACTTTGAGATTCAAGTATTTAAATAAGACAAAGTTAAGAATAAAGTTGAATGAAAATTCGGCCGTTGCCGAATTCCATGTGGGAACTTACGGGAAGAGAGACGTGTCAATTTCTTATGCTTGCGACATACGTGTCCACAGTATACGCATATCTACATCCACATCTATTTTTCTTTCATTTAATTGAGAGAATCAGAACAAACTTATAAACTAACTGCTAAACAATATTATTTTGTAAAAGGAAGCATCGATCAATAATCATGGGAGAAGGCCAAGAAACAAAGACAAGAGAAGAGCCCAATGTGGAGATTCTGGTAAACAATAACAAGATCAGCATTCTGCACTTCTAGTATATAATTCACTTATTAGTTAATGGATTTAATTGCAGGAAAGAGGAGAAATATTCTTCTTTTATCGCCCTAAAGTTGAGAGAGAAGAAGCACATGGCCCTCAAGATGTGCAACGCCTCTACATCGTTTTGCAACCGGAATCCGGCGAAAGACCCATCGAACAAAAACAAGATACCGATTCCAGCCAACACGGCAGCAGCCAGGTTAGCATATCTATATTCAAAATAGCTTTAAAATCAGATTTTTTAGTGGATTTTAATAAAAATTGATAAAATATGTTGAAAAGTTATGAGATGAAAATTAATTGTTATTTTTTACTTATATTAAGAAAATCTAAAATTTAATTCATACCAAAGAGAGGATACATGTTGCACAACTAGGCATTGTTATTTTTATGTAGTGTTACTAAACCTCTGTTTAGTGTATATGAAAATCAAATTTTTTATATTTTTAATAAAAGTTAATGAAGCATGTGGTTCAAATATTTATATTCAAATAATTTGATTTAACTTGAAATATTTATCGAAATCAAAGAGGGGCTAAGCATAGTAACGCACATAATTAATACCTAGGTTGCACAGATGAAATCGGGCATTTCGAAAATGATATCGTATATATAAGTGGGTGACTGAAGGTTAGAGGAGTTTGTACAAAAAAATATAATTTGTCTTTTATAAATTAAATATTTTAACCGTTTAATAAATTCAATAATTTGTTAATTTTACTAGGATAAGAGTTATTAAAAAAAAAAAAAAAAGGAAAAGGATTTAAAGCTTTATTTTAGTTGTGGTTTATAAGTTGATAAAGATTATTTGTCTCGTGTGGTTGAAATATTGAAAATGAGTTGGAAAGAAATATATTTAAAAATGAGTTTCAAACAAGGACATATGGGGTTATTCAAAATTTAAAATTTAGCGTCTTTTCAACTGTTGATTAATTAATTTTAAATAAATATGCATCCACGCTTATTCTTAACAGGAAATAAATATTGAGAAGCAAATGCTGCTGCGATTCATAGTGATGGGACGTAAAAGCCTCCCGGATCCTAGCAGCAAGAGAGGTAGACCATACTGGGGTTTCGTCGAAATGGTTACGACAAAAAGCGAAGATATTAAGCTGGCTCTCAAAGGAGGTTCTAATCACCCTAATTACATGTTAATGTTGATAATTGTTTATCCAGCATTTATTTAATATATAAATTTGAATGGCAGAGGAGTATGATACAGCAACAAGAGGCAACAGCCACAAACCTCCTGCAAGGGCGTTGGCCGAAGGCATATATCGGATTTTACGACACAATCGAGGAGGGAAAAGAATGCACACCCATTTGGTTTACAAGCTTGAATATCCACCCGAAGATGAGAAGAACGAAGCGCAAGAATCGCTTAACATTGAGCGTGAAGGTTCGTTTCTGATACAGATAAAGAATCCAGATCAACACGGTTCAGAGTTCCGAGGACTTGAGAGTAAGAGGAAGGCTACTTTTCCAGCACATTTGCAAGGACAATTTGGTAATTTGCGATACCACACAGCTGATCCACCCGATTTTCTCAACTATGAAGGATGTGAGTTTCTGTTGATATCAGCTTCTGATGATATTGAAGAAGAACTGGGGTTGCAACTGGAAACGGAGATAGATGCACAGAAACAGAATCAACATGATGCTAGTTGCTCTGATTTGGTTAGAACTTTTGGAGAGACGGCTTCTACCCGTGCCTTTCTCAAAGGCACCTGGGTTTAACTATCCCTCGTAGACGGAGAGGGGAAAAGGTATGTGAGTGACGTGTAAGCAGAGCCGGTCCTGTGTTTGAGGGGCCCTGAGGCGAATGATGAAAATTAGGCCCCCCATCGACAAAATTCAAAGGTGTATTATGTGACTTATTGCTAACTTAAAAAACTAACATTAAAACAACAACGAAATATATCATAGAAACGATTATATTATAAACCATCAAACCAAAAATTTCAAACAATTAGTTAAATACTATTCGTCTTGCTGTTTTAGAGGCAAAAACATCAATCAAATCTGAATAACTTAGCTGCTTAACCATTTCTTTTTCTATTGATAACATAGCTAACCCGTTTAATCTTTCTTGTGACATAGTTGATCGGAGATAAGTCTTGATCAACTTCAATTTCGAGAAACTTCTTTCCGCAGATGCAACTGTAACCGGTACGGTTAACAAAATTTTGTAAGCAATATAAGCATTTGGAAAACAAACATCCAATGTCTTCAAATAGTGTAGCACTTCAATTGCTCTTGTTGCTTCATTTGGTAAATAAATTTTCAAGACTTGTAATTCCGAACATAAATCATCTCCACTGATATCCGAAAGCCCATCATGTTCAAGATATTTCTCAAGATTCATACAAGAGTTCAACAAACTTGATAAAGTTGCACTCCTTAACCTCTTCAAATTAAACAAAAATCCAAATATATCATCATATAGTTTGAATTGTTCAAATCGAGTCCTCAGAGAAGATAGAGCTTGATCAATTATAAAAACAAAGTACTCAACTCTAAATGATTCTTCTGCTGATTGCTTTACCTCATTACTACAGTTTTCATCAAATT